CCTTCGCGGGCGTCGCCGACGCGACGCGGTGGTTTCTCCAGCACGGGGGGATGCGCAGCGCGGCGGGGGCGGCGGTGTCGGTGCCGCCCCTCCTCCGAGAGGATCCGGCGCACCCAGGGGGGGTCGTCTGGCGAACCAACCTTGCCGCGATGGCGGGGGTGTGGGGGGAGTGGTTTACGGGCCTTGATCGCGCCTTTGTGGGGCTGCCAGTGGTCAAAATGCTCTGCTTGGCGAGCGCGGAGCGGCTGGATACCGAGCTGATGGTCGCCCAGATGCAGGGGAAGTTTCAGCTTGAGGTGATTGGGAATGGGTGCGGGCATTACGTCATGGACGACGCCCCGGCGGAGCTCGGGAGTAAGATTCGACGCTTCGTGAGCCGCATCCTGACGCTCTCGGAGAGGCTCAACACGAGGGTGCAGCCGCGGATGTCGGTGAACGTCAACGACCTCGTGGCAAAGCCCAGCCCGTGAGCTTCTCAATGGGAGCCGTTAGGCTGATCCAAGGAATAAAGTCGAGAGTCTTTTTTTTTTTTGAGAGGGGGTTCCTTTCGCACGCCCTTTATTAGGTTACCACCTATCCACGTGCACAAAGCACGACTCCATTTCATAGATAAGGAAGAGAGAAAGAGGGGGAGGAATCTATAAGAGTACTCTAAGACTCTTTCCCAAAGGTGTTTCTGACCGAGTGCGTGCACCCACTTACCGAAAAATATAATACATCCTATTTATCTTTCTATCCTTAATATCACGCTACGCCGCCTTCGCGATGGGAAGGAGGATCGAGTGTTTTATTGAATTATCTACTTACCTTTTTTGGTAACGCTCTACATCAATGAATGCATGTTAACTACACGAAAATGCACTGTATATGCCATTGTGTTTTGGCTCAGAATGCTTAGTAAGCACCAATTCGCTGGTCTTCTCAAAAGTTAAAATGACATCATCTCTGGATGGCTGTTTAATAGGGGGTATGGATGAAATCAAAAAGCTATGAAATCCGTAGTGGATTTTATTTTAACAGGGGCTTGAGCCTCTCTTCTTAAATACATGGAGCTAGTGCGATTGGCTGGTGGTTGCTAAGACACTTTAGCTGATGTAATAGATCTTATCTCGCAGCTCCCGATTTAGGGCCTTGGAAGAAAACTGTTCAAAGTTGTCGTACTAGGATTGAAGGTGCAGATCGCGTCGCTAGGTGATTTTTTCCTTTTTTTTTTTGCATGCGCTGAATCCCTATGGAGTGATGAATCTATCGCTTCCCCAATTTAATGTTTGTCAATCTGTGTTGGGCGTGACATCGACGAATTAGATGCAGTGATGTTAGAACTAGAATGAGATTGAAGTGTGACGGTCCTTTGATGGGTCGCTTTTCATAAAATCAACAGTCCCTGCTTTTGTTTATTTTTAATGTTTTTGATGCGAATCGGCGTGAAACGGTCATATCCATCCCTTGCAATCAAATCCCTTTCCACAATGAAATTTCTCAACACCAAACCGTTCGTCTTCGCCATTAATGCTCTTCTTTTGTTTCTTCACATAATCCCTTACGCGATTGTTGAGGGTGGTGGTAGTGATGGTAGGAGGCACTCATTGTTTAATTACTACGCGCATTTTTTAACGAGGCTCTAGCATCCTCACATTTATTAGTATTACCGTCAAAATCGTTTATTTTTTTCTACTGTAGTCTGTTTGAGAGCCTTTTTTCTCTTTTTTGCCAAATCACTTCTGAAAACGTTCTCCGACGCTTCCTAGTCTTTGTTGCTCTTTTAATTTGAAAGTAGAAAGCCGTAATTTATCTTGTTATATAGTGATCATTAATTTGTAACCGGCATCACTAAAGCGACTGTCCAAGTGTGTTTCTGATCCGAGAGATTATATGTTATGGGCGTAGATAGACAAGAGGGCAAAATGAAAAATGGTAATAAACTTGCGAAGGACGAAACAGATCTCCCGTTTGTTGCAGCTACCTTCCCAAGGCTTAAAGATATCGACGATACATCCGTTAATTACGATAATGAAATGCCATCCAACATGATAAACTCTAGGTCTAACATCCCAGGCATCACTCCGCAGGAACTTTTAGCTGCGCATCGTCGTTCCCTGGCGGAGCTTTCCGAACACTCAAACGAACTTGACTTTCACAGTTTAACCTTAAGTCGTCATCAGATTGATGGCGGGGAGGTGTTCTCCGCTCAGCTGGATGATATTCCTGACGAGGAGTATCAGGAGTGCTTGAGGAGCTTCAAATTTGGTGATGAAAACAGCGGACTTGGTGGGGGCTCTAGTGATCCTGCAAGCACGAAATCAGATGAAGAGCAATAAAAGAGGATAGATTTCTGTATGCTAAGGTGAATGAGGCTAGGTGAGGTTTCTCGATATGGAATTCCCTTCTGGGGCACATCGACTGAATGCGATGCGTGGCGTTCAAATTATCTATTATTCTCTTTTCGGGTAAGTGTATCATTCTCTTCACGTAATTATTTCGTGTTCCATACTATTTCTGTTTCACCCAAGGGTGAAAAATATTAATCTAATAAATACTGTCGAAAAACTAGAGGACCATATTTTTTATCAGCAACTTATTTTATGGGAGAGCTATCTTATTTACTGATATAGCTATCATTTTCCCCATATGAAACTTTTCTGTGTGCATAGCGAGTTAGTGTTATAAACATTTCGTTACTATTTTTTGACCAAAATGCTTAACTACTCAAACAAATGCTTCTTCTACTATTCAATCAGTAATCCAATCTACTGTAATAAAAATATCAGAGTACTTTGAAGGGGATCAACGGTGAATTTTATTGCTTCTATAAATCAGGTTTGTAGAAACAGTACTTGATTTGTACGTATATATATATGCTTTTGTATATATTTTTGTGTATATAAATATATATATATATATATATATATATGCATTTATCAGGTGTTCCATTATGTGCTTTATGTAAAAATGGTTTGTACATCGGGATTGTTTTGTGTCTTATCAATTTTCGCTTTTTTCAACTAATTTTCATGTGGTGCGATTGTAGCTAACTAAATGAGATTCAAAAACGTTTATATATATTATATGTATATATGTATATATATATATATATATATATATAAGTACGTATATGTTCGTGGGTGTGTAGCTTAGCAAACTAAATCATAGAGATTTATTATGATAAATTCAGATTTGTTTTAACTTTTTTGACAGTTTTATGAGTCATTCGTTAGGATTGGGCATAATCGGCTACATGGTGATAATGTTTATATCAGTTAGGCTGATGTTTTTTTTTTAAATATTACTATACTAAATTTATTCCAAAACTTTGATGGATTCATGATATTGCTTGAATTTTTATGTTATCATTATTACTTCCTTTAGAGCACTGCTTAGGATTCTATTAGTAGTTCACAGCTTCCTGAAAATCAAAGGTAGGAGCCACTAACACACAAAAATACATCCCATCATTTTGTTTACCTTTTTTTGATATCATTAAAAATCTTAAGCTCTAAACATGTATGCATACGCTTTATTAGAAGCACTTTTTTTTTTTGTCTCTGCCTTGCCATTCTGCGGTGGCGCTATCGTTTTAAGTCTCCCTACAATCGTCGCCCGGGCTACCAAAGCATCACCTTTGACAAAGCCCCTACGGAGGTGGATTATGTAATCATTGGGGCCGGGCCTGCCGGCCTTGCCGCCGCGCGCGAGTTACTTGAAACTAATCCTTCTTCCTCCGTGCTTATTCTTGAACAAGGTGGGGAAACACTCCCTGCAAACTCTTGGGAAGGGGTGTTGCCGGAGCTGAACCACGCCCGTTTGCTTTTCTTCAGCCCCGATCTTGTGTACTCTCCCCTCACGAAGTTTCCCTCGCCGTTTCGCGCGTGCACGGATCAACGCTTCACCGCGCGTCGTCCGTTTCGGGCCTTGCTGAACCTCCAAGGGGGCGTCTCCATCCCGGGCGTGAAACCCGAGGAGGCGCGGAAGATCCGAAGCCGTGAGGTCTTCTTCAACTACACGCCCTACCCGCAG